GCTGTATTTTGAGTCCATCTCTTTTGAGATGGAAAAGAGATTAAACAAGTGGGCTCCCATCACCAAGAAAGAAGAGCCAGGAGTAGAGTGTCCTTTGGACCTGGGGTCCCTGTGCTGAGAACCTCCTAGACCCAGGAGAAGACTGATGACAAGGTCCTTCCTCCAGAGCCAGCAGAGAAAAGCCTTCCCCTGAATTTGGATTTTCAGCCTCATAAACTGTGAAAGAATAAATTTCTGTTTGTTGAAGCAAAAAATATATATATTTGAGAGGGAAGTGGTGCAGGATGGAACTGGCTATGAATTGAAATTGATTTCTAGCGGTCAAAACCCTCTTTGGGTTTCCGTAGGCAGTATCTCTACAGAAGTAGATTACTTAGTCTTCCTTTCCAGTCTTCCTTCCTTCCAAGGAGTGGCTGGCTGGTGGGTTTGAACCGCCAGCCTTCTGGTTAGCAGTCAAATGCCTTAGGCACTTGTTGTTGTGTTCCAATGAGTCAGACCTGACTCATAGCAACCCCTCCTTGGGTTTCCGAGGTAGTATCACTACGGGAGCTCTGGTAGCATAGTGCCTAAGGCACTTGACTGCTAACCAGAAGGCTGGCGGTTCAAACCCACCAGCCACTCCTTGGAAGGAAGGTTGGACAATCCTACTTCCGTAGTGATACTGCCTCGGAAACCCAAGGAGGGGTAGCGATGAGTCGGGGCCGACTCGATGGCAAATAACGATGGCAAACAACAACAACAACAACAACATCACTACAGAAGTAGATTGCCCAACCTTCCTTCCGAGGAGTAGCTGTTGGGTTTGAACCACCAGCCTTCTGGTTAGCAGTCAAGTGCCTTAGCCACTGTGCTACCAGAGCTCCCGCCTTAGGCACTAGGCAAATCAGTTCTTCTGAGTCTCAATTCTTTTGTCAAATGAGACTCAGGAGCCCTGGACACACAAATGTTAAGTGGTCGGCTTCTAACCCAAAGGTTGATGGTTCAAACCCATCTAGTGGCTCCATGGAAGAAAGCCTTGGAGATCTGCTTCTGTGAAGATTACAGCTAAGAAAATTATGGGGACAGTTCTACATGGCCACATGGGGTTACCAAAAGTCAGAATTGTTGGCACCCTACAACAACAACGAAAACTCTGCAGAGTGTTACAGTGGAAAAATGGATGCATTCTGACTCCTAAGTGCTCAAGGGGAGCTCTGGTGGCATAGTGCCTAAGGCATTTGACTGCTAACCAGAAGGCTGGTGGTTCAAACCCACCAGCCACTCCTTGGAAG